GTTAAATAAGTTCTGTACTAATATGGGCAGCGTGTGAGCTGTGGATGTCTCATGAGCATTGACCTATGACAGTGAATCTGTCTAGGTGGAAATTGCAGTACTTGAAGTGTGTCAATCGCTGAGCGATCACAAATACAGACATTTCTGTACTGCAGAGCTCTGCTGCTAAACAATATGACTGGGAACAGTAAGGCTCAGGATTAATTTGCAGGGCAGCTTTGTGAGAGAATATGCTTACTCTAGAGCAGGCAAATAAAACCGGTCGATGTTCTTCAGATGACTTTATTATTAAAGTGTATGTTACCCTAAATATTTATGTTTTTTCTGTGTGTGTTTGTATATGTGTATTTTATAGATCATAGTCTTTTTCATTTTCATGTACTTCTTCCATCTGAAGCACTTGGTTGAACTTGCCAGTCACCTTTTTTTTTTGTTCTAAACTGACCACTTAAAGCATAGAAGCTGATTTTGTTAGCGTGGTCAGTTTTCATCCTTATACTGACCAATCAGAGGTACAGGGCACTGTACAGGCAAACAGCATGTTTGTATTGGGTACTTTGTTCAGCCACCATTCCCCCTGACCAATCACAGCCTGCCTCTGGCACACAGCTCCTCCCAATCACAACCTGACTTTTGAACATTGCCCCTGCTTAGGCACAGCACAGCCTGCATCTTGTTTCAGGCTGACCAGACTTGGGCTCCATGCACACTAGCACTTTTTTAAGCCAGAAAAAAACGCTGGATTAATATTGATGGATGCAGTTAGGAGCACTCAGCGGTTTTCTTATGCTGGCAAATCGCTCCCAAAAACACAAAAAGCTTTTTTTTCTGCTCTTAGAAGCTGAATCTTGAAAAACACTTCTATCCTACAAGAGTGTGCATGGACACATAAGATAACACTATTTGCTTCTAGGGACAGAAAAAAACGCTGATAACTAGCTGCTAGGAACTTAAAAATAAGCTAGTGTGCATTGAGCCTGAGGCTGGTTTCACACTCATCCTACCAAAAAGGCATATGCATTTTTGCTGCATTTTAACCACAGATTTTACAGGACATGTGAACCAAAAAATGCACCGCGGGTGTGTTTGATGCATTTTTGCCATGTTTTCCATTGATTTCAAAGCATTTTGGTCCATTTTTTACTGCACCAAACCATCACCAAAAATACACCATGCGTGATTTTAAAAAATGTGAAGAGTTCCATAGGAATACATGCTCACACATTTTTCTTCCACATTTTTTAACACAAAAGTGGGTGAAAAACAGATCGATGTGAAAGGAGCCTAAGGAATACAGGCACACTGTGTCTGCACAGTATCCTGCAACCCTGCCCCCCACTATCAGAAAGAAGATTTGCGAGGTCACATGACAGAACTTTTTAGCCTGAAACCTTGTAAAAACAAGTAAGAAAGATCATTTCTGAAACTAAGCAAAGCAGTTATGGTACCTGCATACTTCTAACTGCATTATTAAGTACCTGTAGCACTTTTTGTTCACAACTACTTTTTGTACTATAGTGCAATATGTTTTGGGGGGAAATAAGAAGGTTGAGTGTTAACAGGCATTGTAGCCCTCTGAAGACCAAATCTACGCAAATTGGCCCACTTATTCAGTCAAAGTATAACTAATAACAAAACTTTTTTTTTAGTTATAGGTAGAATGAAGAGGGATTGGTATACCTGTCAAGTTTTTTTTTTTATTGCTGTGTCCCTGTTCACCCCGTTTGTCCCATATACTTTTATCCTTCCACCCCTTGAAGGCGTTTGTGGCGCCTGGAGGCGGGGCAGGGTTCAGGGTCATGTGACCGCCGTGATTGGCTGTCTCAGCGGTCACGTGATCAGAAAGATTCCGATTACAAGTAGCGATCGGGACCTGTCGGCAAATGTGTCAGGAGCAGGCAGGGTGCGCTGTCTCGGCACGTTTGTTTACAATGGGTACGCAAATATGTGACCCCTCGGCGTCAAGGCCCAGCCACCAAGAGGCTGCATGTTTGCATACTGTCTGTGCCAAGGAGTTAAATGTATATCTCTGTGGCTGTGCTCCCACACCCTGCTCCTGGGCAGTCTTCTGAAGAAAAACATTAAACAGTTGCCCAGAACAACCACTGACAGACAGAAGTTACTGTTATTAGCAATAGCAGAATTTTTGTTCTGGTCCCCATGAATCAGCCCCAGCGTTAGGCCTCATACACACAATGAGAATACTGGACGAATGACCCTGTGTTGTTTTCTTTGCTTGTATCATATTGAAAATTCAGGGTTACTAAAGTCACAAAAATTCTCGTAAGACAGAATACAACTTTGGAAGTAATGTATTGTATTGTACTGTAATGTATTCTTACATTTCTGCACATGCGTGGTCTTGGTTTTCCAGGGGTTTTTTTTTAGGAATACTGTACTAATTAAACAAAAATCATTCATTCTGGTGTCGTACTAGAAAAGTTTTCATGTTTGTCCCTTCAGATAATTTTGCATGAACTGTCATGATTGGCTCTTGAAAGCTGTATACTAACGATCAGATTATTAGACAATTGCACTGTTATTTTTTGTCCAATTTTCTGATTGTGTGTACTAGCCTTTAGAATGTATTAGCCCTTATGTCACGTGTCCAGTCTCTGGCCAGATAGAGGTACGTTCCTGTGTAACAAGCAATAACTATACAGCACTACATCTCCCACATGGGAGTTGCCTCATTCTCATGATTTACAGAGTCATTACAAATGTAGGAAGTGTCTCCTGTGCGGGCTTTTAATGAAGTAGTCTTTTATCGTATGACTTTGCTACACTGAATTAATGATCCCGTATCTCATTACAAATGGATGAAATTAGCTTCCCTTTATAAAAAGCTGAATATTTAGCGAGTAGATCACTTATAAACACATTAAACGTCAGCCTTCTTTTGCCTTTCATGGATCCTCTCCCCACCCCCTGCTGCCTTATCAACAGGCTAATCCCATCCCTACTATCATGACCATGTTGCAATTTTTGGTGCACTTCTAATTACATTTTTTAAATAAAACCTTATTTCATTGCATTCCTTCTTTTAGATGCAGCAACATCACTGCTGGGTTTCTGTGCTCCTCTATGCCTACCAGGCACATCGTGGCTAATCGGAAGGACTGGCAAGGTGCTGTACTCAAAACATCCCAACATCCTGTTAAAGTGACACTAAACCATATCCTGACTCTGTATTCTATATTTCAAGAAATCATTTTTTACTATGTTTCTCCTTCCTTCTAACATCCTCCATGAGCTCCTGAAACGCTTTCCCTCCCCTCACTTTAGTTTCCTTGGAACAAGCAGTGCACGTTAGTTGCAGTTATGTGCATTTTTTTTTTTTTTTGTACGGAGCTTTGCAGTGCAGAGCTTTGCTGAACCCCTCTGATCGCTTCTCAGCCTTTTGGCCAAGATCAAGTGTAGAATCTGTTTTTTTTAGCATTCAGGAACAGAACACAGATTCCCCTTGCCAAATGGGAGTGGCAGAAGTATTACTGATGTAACAAGGCGTCTATGGTGAGAGGGATATTTTCCTCCATGGTTAAATCTGGTCTAGTTTACCAGGCTTGTCTGAATTTGTCTGACCCGGGGGTGGAAGGCACAAGGAGCTCCTCGTAATGTGTCTCTTGGGAGTGGAGGCCCAGGGGTATCAGGAATAAGTAAATTTTGGGAATTTGTACACCATAAATTTTCAGTGGCACTTGTTCACATCACTTTTTGCTTTTCTAGCCCATGCCTCCTGAGCAGGCCTTCTCGCCAGCTTGGAGCAACTTTATACTGGCTGAAAGGCCTGCTGTGTGTATTGCACCCATTTTATTTTCACTATTCAGTTGTGGGCGCTTGCACTCTGTGTTTGTTGCTTCTTTTTTTTTTTTTTTTAATTTATGCACAGAGATGGAGGATACAGGTTTTGGGCCAGCCATAATGTCAGGGGTAGGATCTCTGGTCTTCAGGTCTTTTTCATCTTCCCATTTGGGGGGAAAATGCGCTCAAGAACTTGGAGGACTGGCTTTGGCAGCTCCCTAAAGAGTGGAGTCCAGCTCCCTGTGGCCTAGGTAGAGGATGGAGTGCCTTACTCCTGTCAGGAGCTTTGTGCCTTGGAGGGGTTCAAGGCCCCTCCTCTTCATACGTCTGGCCATTTCTGTACCTTTGTGCCCATTTATTGTGTGCTGTGATTTCACACTGCACTTTTTTTGTTCACTGAAGTCAAGTTCCCTGCTCTATTCACACTGCACATTCCATGTTCATAGTCCCTAAACCATTTTGATAACAAGCGTGAGCGGTTAGCGACATCCTTACTTACAGTGGAACCATGAAAAACAAAACAAACAAAAAAAATCTGGAGATTTGGAGGGCAGCAATAGAAGGTACTTTTTGAGTTAATACTACTATATATATATATATATATATATATATATATATATATATATACATACATACACACACACACACACACATATACATACACATACACATATACACACACACTATATTGCCAAACGTATTGGGGTGCTTACTTTTACACGCACATTAGCTTTAATAGCATCCCAGTCTTAGTCTGTAGGGATCAATAGTGAGATGGTCCACGCTTTGCAGCTATAAGAGCTTCAACTCTTCTGGGAAGCCTGACCACAAGGCTTAGGAGTGTGTCTATGGGAATGTTTGACCATTCTTCCAGAAGCGCATCTGTGAGGTCAGGCATGTGTGTCGGACGAGAAGACCTGGCTCACAGTCTCCGCTCTAATTCATCACAAAGGTGTTCTATCGGGTTGAGGTCAGGACTCTGTGCAGGCCAGTCAACTTCCTTGCTTTGTGCACTGGTGCGTAGTCATGTTGGAACAGGAAGGGCCATCCCCAAACTGCTCCCACGAAGTTTGGAGCATGATATTGTCCAAAATGTCTTGGTATGCTGACACTTTAAGAGTTCCCTTCACTGGAACTAAGGGGTCAAGAACAACCCCTGAAAAACAACCCCACACCAAAATCCCCCCTCCACCAAACTTTACACTTGGCACAGTGCAGTCAGGCAGGTGCCATTCTCCTGGCAACTGCCAAACACAGATTTTCATCGGATTGCCAGACAGAGAAGCGTGATTCATCACTCTAGAGAACTTGTCTCCACTGCTCTAGAGTCCAGTGGCGGCGTGCTTTACACCACTGCAGCCGAGGCACTTGCAGATTTGTGGTAAACTAACTCAATGTATTGTATATGGTATAGAATAAATAGTGGTTTGAGTATATATGAACACATAGAAGGTAGGTTCAGACACAGCCCGCAACTTAGTATAATCGCTATGCCAAGGCAACTTCGAATATAGTTTGTACAACTGAACTAGGATTAATTCATGAATCAGCTATAAACAGTGCATAGAAGTGTAGCGCTTACCCCCCGCAGGAGCCGCTGGTGATGACGGGTCCTCTGTTCTGTCACGATTCACTTAACTGCGCGACTCCCCACGGTCACACTTAGTCGTAAACTAAAGACTGTTTGCACCTGTGGATTTAAGGGTTAGCAGGCTACCACTCTAAGAATGCACAGGAATGAGGCCACAAACAGCTTGGCAGTGAATCAAGTGAATGTATAAAGGTAATTCAATGCAATACGGTGTAAATCAACAACCAGATGAATGCATAAACAAAAGATCACGATGATAGAAAAAAGGGCAATGAATCACTAACTCTAGAATGGCTAGGATATGGATGGTGCAATACCCTGCGAGGTACCACTTTACTTCTTATTGTAAGCAATAGGTGTGGGTTTCTGTGTAACAGCTGCAAAGGAGCAGTCTATAGTCCTAACTCTTCAGCTGTCCTGCGTTGGGGCCCAGTTTTGCCATTGGTGAACATGGGAATAGTCCCAGTCAAGCCTGGGGGCTGCAATAAACCTATTAGATGTATAGTCAGTTCCTAAAGGGCTCAGTCTCTCCAGCAGCTGATAGTAAATTCTCACAGCAGCAGCTCATCAGTCTCAGCCATACTGTAGCTCATCATCTAGACACACACAGCAATTACTCCACTCTCTGCTCAGCACCCAGGTGACCCTGGCTGTCAGCACACCTGGACTCGGCACTCCGGATCACGCTCAGGCTGACATTATGCAGCAGTGGTGGTGCACACTGGAAAGCCATGTGTATCCTCCGGGCTCACTCATGACAAGAGGAAGCTGTGTGCTGTACAGCTTCAGAAAATGCAGTTCTTTCCCCTCCTAATGGCAATCACCCTCTGGGAAATGCAGTTTAAAAGCTCTTGATTACAGTAGAGTCTCTCTCCTCTGGACTACAGTTCCCACAGTGCAGTGCTGCCTGACTCAGTCTTTTAAACTCTTCCTGCTCAGCAGCTCCTTCCTCTTGCCGATATGGCTGTTAAACAGTCCAGCACCACAGGGCAGCAGCAGCGTTTCTCTCACTATTTATTCTTAGCCAAACACCTGGCTACATGTACATGATTATTTGTGTCTAAACTCAAGTAGCACTACCCCCATAGGAGCTGATGGATAGGATGGGTCCTCTGTTCTATGCTTCAACCTTCTCAAGAATCTCAGCCACTCTGACACACCAGGTGCATGTACAAACATACAATATCAAAGGAAAAAACAAAGTAATGCTTAGTACCCAACAGTAGTGCTATAACAAAGAAAACAGGCACCAAACCAGGTAGTAAAGGCGAACTTAACATATTGTGGTGCAATATGGGTGGTATCTAGGCAAGCATGAAATGGATTGACAATGGTAATAACACAATTTAGCATACAAAGTGAATAGCAGTAAGCACTAGGCAAAAGGTGACATTTGGCATCCAGATCAGAATAAACAGTAGCAAGGCCACCTCAAGTGCAACAGTGAACAGTAGTAAAGTTTAATTTACCAAGCGCTGAAAAACTATACTTCCAGAGCGCATTTATAGCAGCGATGCTAGTCCTAGACCAACTGGGTATGCACTGTCCAAAAGAAAAGGAGGATGGTATCGAAGAGGGCAGGGGAAAAAAAAAAAAAAAAAGAGACTTGCAGAATAAATATTATGGGAGGGACAGTCCTTTGAGATGTTATTCTGTGTACTATCATTGGGGCTCTTTAAGAGCATCAGTGAACTTAACGACATTCCCAGTAAACCTGCATGCAATATAGGTACTGTATACTTTTGGCACAGGTGCAAGAGTAGATGTGGTTCAGATGCAGTAAAAGTTTGGTATAATGCACAAGGTCTATGTTTGGAATAAGTGCGGTATAGAGTGCAGTATGGGTGTGGTATTGATTGGGTATACTTGATTTCCTGCTCTCAGTGGCTCAGCCCCTGCTGGTTGTATCAGCAATGGGCAAATAACTTTAGAAGGGGGGCCCCTTTTCTCTCCATAGGATGCCTTTGATGATCAGCGATGGAAAGCTCTGGGTGAGAGGAAACTCTGGGTCTCCCTGCAGGAACGGTGTAGATGTGATCACTGCAGTCTGTGTTGCACTGCCACAGGTATCTTTTTCTTCTCAGGCTCAATCTCCACTAGTCTGGCCTCTCAGCAGTCTTGGTTCCCACAGCTGCAAAAGGAAGAGGTTTCCAGGGCAGTTTGATAAAACCCATCTCACCACTCCCCTTCCTCCTCAGTGCTCTGCACAGAAGTCTATGGGTTTGATTGGCTTTAGCTCTCCCTTGCTGATCAGAGAAGAATGGTGCAGCGTAGCATCAGTATCTCAGTAGAGGGAGAGAAGAATAAAAGACAAGATCTCCTCCATATTGCTGTAGCTCAGCACCTGGCTACACCCCTTTACTTCCCAGACAACTGAATGAAAATGCAACACAAAACATCACAGAAGTAACTCAATGCTTGTTAGAATCAACTTGAAGCAGCTCAAGAGTCAATCATAGGTATCCAAAAAGTCAAGTCAACCAAGTAAAACAAAACAGTAATCTATTACCTTTGACAATATACTGCATTTTTCACTTTGAATTTTAAACCATCCCATATGAATCTCCTCTGAAAAGATGAGAAGCAAGGAAGGAATTGTAGTGGAGTTCTTCACCCACCTTGTTCAGAGCTGGGTGCAGGCCCCTTAACTCCTTTTCCAATTCCAATTCAGTGGTCTCCCACAACTCCTAGAACTCTTGGACACATTCAGGGGATATAAATTCCACTGTTTCCACCCAGGTTTGATGAGAGTTTTCACCTCATGGGACAGCAGTGATTGGGCACCACTTCAGCAGGCGCTGGATCCACCATCATGCCTGCCTGTGTGCGGGTTGCCAGCTAAGAGCACAAACTTGTGGAGGGGACTGTGCCTATGAGCCCTGACATACAGGAAGATACTGAGATACTACATTTCCAGTGTGGTGGTCCTGCTTCTGTGGCAGTACCCCTATAGATCTGCAGCCTGCTCCAGTGAGATTGCAGCCATCTAGAAAACAAATCCTGGGATCCCTCACAATACCCACATTGGCTACTAAACTGACCCTGCAGAGACTCTGCTAATTGGGCCAAATGCAATAACTGAATATGTACCGGACTAAATTGCACTCTGTTTTAGTGCTTTTCCTTTATATTCTATTTTGAGTACTTGTATTATACGGTTTACCTTACAGATTTTATTGAAATCTAGGAATCTGTTATTCTGCACTGTGCTGCCACCTAGCAGCCTTTATGAGAATCTACCCCTAGATGGTCCTGTCACTGCACTGCAAAAGTTGTCTTGCCTGTTAGGCATGTTCTATACTTATTACACACTCTTATCAATCTATTGCATTGTCAGTTTATCCTGCCTTCATCCAGTAAACAAAATTGCACATTGCTGTTTGTCTTATTTGGCTGATACCATGCCACTACAGAAATGTTTTTAAGCCTGAAATTTCAGGTGCTTTTCCCATCTCATCGCTTTGTGTCCCTACTGGGTAGCTGTATATTTGTACTGTTGCCCATTGTCGGAGCTTTCACCGGGGACACATTCATTGGTGGCAGCTGTCTAGAATAATTCATGTTAGAAAGAGCTCCTCTTACTTATTGCAGGGCAGGCAGTGAAGAGGAATCTCAAGCAGACAGCAAAAAATAATTAACAGGGCTTTTGGCTAGACATACACTTTCATGGCTTACATAGGGGAACTACAAATCCAAACGTGTAAGTATATTGAATAAGATTGGTGGGCCCGCAGTAGAAGACCTCCAGTGGGTCCAAGAGGGCCCATTATTTCAGAGAACAGCTTGAGATATAGATATATATATATATATCAGTTTGTGCTTCACAACACATGAAGATATGTTAGGAAGACACCATTAGCAAATAAATTGATGCGGGTGAGCCTATAAATTCACCACATTGGGACCACAAGAAGCATGAGACACTGTAAAAGTCACCCACATATTTCAGGATGTCAGGCATGGAAATGGTTCATTTAAAAGCTTAGTCTGGCACTTTAGCAGCACGTTTTTCTTAATGTGCTACTACCCCAGCTTGCTGAGTGTTATTACACCACTGATGCTACCGTGGGTGAAGAGATCATTTGGATGACATTTGCAGAGTTGCCTCCTCTAACGTGAGAGAGATTGAGAAGGGATATTATGCTTGGAAGCTGCCTGACTGTGCATAATATTTTAATGTGCACAACTTCCATTTACCTGTAGTAAAATCTTTTATGAAGGTTTTCATTATGATAGCGGAACTAGCATCATAAAGCTTTATAGGTTGCATTTAACTTGCAGGTGGAGTGGGTGATGGATGAGCTCACTGATGCCCGTTATAATATGGGGCCAAGTCTACATTTCATAGTGCCAGCACTGAGGTGCATCACATTGGGGGTAATTAATGATTGTTCCCTTTATTTATGCCTCCCAACCTTGCAGGTGTAAACAGAAGCAACAAGTGGAGCAGTATCATGTCCAGCATTCACTGTTGTCAGTTTGCAGTCCTACAGCCTATTTTGCATCGCCATGGTGACAGTCAAATAAGATGAAGGCATACTAGCATGATAATAGTACAAATAGTACAAAGTCAGTACATCAAACACTTCAGTCTAGATAAGTATTTTAATTTCAAATCTCATAATAGCAAAAAAAAAAGTATACTTTAATGCAGCATGTAGTATGTATAAGGAATCTATTCACAATGATCATTAAACAATACAATAAATAGTACAGGAATATAATTGCAACCAAGAGTAGACAACGCTAATAAGCAAAACATAAGACAGAATGAGGGATAACAAACCAATACATATCAACATATACAGTACATAGCAAAGGAATGTAACCAGAAAAGTACCAAAAAGAATAGCAAGCAAACCCAGACACCCAACAGAAGGTGTAGAGGTGGAAGGACATTTTGGGGTGAAAACCCCTTTATCAAGTTTTATCCCACCTGTGGTTAATGGGTGTTACTACAAAGTATACTAAAATGTATTCATTGCTAGTTTTTAAGGTTCACCTGTGATGTCTTGAAGAATTGAAGAATGACATCTCTACACCTTGTATACACTGAAGATTTCAAAATCTGCTACAAGTGACCATGGATACGTTTTTTTTTTTTTTTTTTACTGAGTGAGGGTTGAGACTCAAAAGTCAAAGCCCACTTCACTTCCACCTCCCCTATACAATTATTTTTTATTTTTAAATTCTTATAATTTTTTTTTCAGCAGTCTTCCATCTAGTTGTATCGTGACGGATGTCTCTTCTTCTATATGTTCCTCCGGTGGTGAGTGCTGAATGTTGCCATTTAATTGTGGCGCCCCACTCTATTGCATTTTCCTGTACTTCCAGGGTGACCTAATGGTGCACCCCAAGAGGGCAGGTCTTTGACACCCTGGGCTCACTTTTGTCCAGTGTCATTCAACCCAGGAGAGGACAAGGCACTTGACAATTGCAGTGGTGAATCTGCAAAAGATAGAGAAGTTGAGTATTGCAACAGTAGTGTATATTTTCTATTTTAACCCTGGCAGGACTTAATGGACAGTATATTTAATTATTAATGGAGCATTTTGAAATAAAAAAAGCTGCATCCAGTCAATAGCATTTTCAATTATAAATTTGTGGTGGCTGAAATCTGTATTTTTCACATTCAGTCAAAACACTTTACTATCTGGTGAGATGGGCAATACAGCTACCGTGTTTGGGGGCTCAGTCACTCTTCTGGTCAATGATCGGTCTAGAGGTATACCTTTGATGCTTTATTGAACAAATATGAACTTGGACGGGTGCAGGGTAACTGTGGGATACTTCAGCAATGTTAAGTAGTAACTTGAGTTCAACTATCTGCCTCTTAAAGATTCTGAGCACAGTCCTTGCAGCAGCAAATAAGGGGCTGAGCTACACAGGAACACCAGAAAAAGCTGTCTCTGTTTCAAGAGGGATAGCAGCAGCACACAGTCACTGGGATCTTTCACAAGGATCTGTACTTACTAAAGTCCTTGAATAATTGGATGCCTCTTTCCCAATATCTTCCAGACACCTCTCCAGTTAATTCTCCTGACCAGATTCCCAAAGAAGTCCATCTGCAAGCTTCATACTATTTATGCTCACTCCCAGACACCATCTGGGCACCTTTCATCAGGGATTGGCCAGGGACACAAATATTCAGACTGTAGATTTGACTACCCCAGCCCACTACTTTGCAGAATCATCCAGAACAAAAGAGAAGCAGCCAAATGTACAGCCTGTGAAGCTCAGAGCAGAACAAAGAAATCACAAGCAAGTCCACTGATTAGGAGAGCTAAGAACTAAATTTACCTAAAATAGCACTTATCTAAGAGGGTGCTACACAAGCATTCTAAAGTTCCACTGTTTAGCTTTTTTCCACCATCAGTGCCTTATAGAGTGCAGAGGAGTCCTCCATAAATACCTACTCATATTCCCAACATCTGATTTCATCTGATTTGAGTTTCAGCATTGGCACAACCCATCCACCAAATGACAATGTTTGAGTTTGTATTATAGGCCACTTAGGCTTCAACATTTGGATATTTCAATTTCACTATTTGGGTTTTCTTTGTACTGTGAAAGGACCAATGGTAAACTAAAAGGTGCCTTGGCATCTTTTGATGCCTTATTAAAGTTGACCAAAACTAAAGCTATATTGTGGTTAACATCTGGAAATGATTGGAGATTCTTGTCATTACCTAAATGTGGCCACTGCCACATCAGCAAGCATCTTTGCCTGTTCGTTCACATTCAGCTGTAGGCTGGGGAATTTTCTGGCTTGTAATTGCATGGGGCTGGGTATGAGTCATTGGTTGCTAGGAAGCTGGCAGTCGTTGGCATCCTGGCAACCATGAACCCTGTGCAGGCAGCTGTCATGTTGTTCCAGCTTCTCACGACAAAATGTCACACTTTCAGCACTAGTGTCACGCTGTATGCCAACTCAAAGTTAGTCTTATTTACCAGCAGTTTGCTTATCTGAAAACTGGCAGTAATTCTTTTAGAATCTTTCACAACCATAGCAATAGATTCTGAAAGTACCATAAATAAAAGCTACCTGAATATGATATGTATTGGATCTTCTACCGAAACTGTTGCAATGTTTTTCTGAATTACACATGGGCCATTTTAAAGGAAAAATACCACTTTTATTAAATTCCCTGTGCTGTGGTTTTGACTTTGAATTGACAACTGAAAACGACAGGTTAATGCTCTCAAATGCAGCAACACTATGGTTTATTTTTCGTAAACATTTTTCTATAAACTGAAAGAAAGATTCTGATGTTTAACACATGAAGACCTTGGCTTTCTAAAGCTTTGCGTAGGAACAGTACTTACACATTTCTTAGTAGGCCTTCTCTCCTGGTTATTCAACAGCAAATGGCCTTTTTTTCCTGTGTTGAAAATGCCCTGACCATGTGTATAGGCTCTAAAGAAGAAAAAATCTCAAGCTAACAAACTCTGTACTCTTCAACATTTTACAAACATTGGATAGCTCTCTAAAAATGTTGTACATAAGACAGAGAAAGATTTAAAACAAACACCTGCACAAAAAGAAAAGGAGGGCATCTCAAGCTGTCTACATCCATTCCAACCCCCAATTTCCAGAGCAGATAGAAATTAGTGTCTAAAAGTCATTAAATTGCTGGTAATCCATCGTGACAGTGAGGCAGAAAGGAGATCCTTGCCAGCACTTGAAAAAGTGCATCCTTTGTGTGGAGCACACACCTGCCTACATGCTGTTCCAATGCATTACCAGTGGACTGCCTCTTGACAGACACTTCTATTTGTGATGCATGAGATAATAAAGTTGTTTTTGCCAGAAGGGACAGGCCGAGTCACCGCTACACAGCATTGCTCATTCATCAGCAAAATGTACACCTCAATGCCAAGCCAATGCAATATGGATTTACAATATGCTTTCTGCAGTGTTTCCAAAGCTGCAGATGCAACTTGACTTTCTAATAATATGCTGCAAAAAGTAATTGTGATCAATAGGTAGTAACAACCAGATGAATCAGGGCTCGTTAGCCTTCATTCCCTTAAAGAAACACTCATAATCACTTAAAGTAACCTGTACCATAACCCCAATGCAACCCTAGAAGAAAATAAACATTCTTGTAAAAGAAAAAAGGCTATTAAAAGTGCATCCAGGGATAACATACGGGCACAAATCGAAAAAAAATGTAAAGTGTTTGAGCACTCCTCTATCATAGGTGAAGTGGAGAAATATAATCTCTCCTTCCAAACTCCAATAGAACTTACACTTTCAGCGTTTTTTTAGTGAGGAGACACACAAAAATTCCATCATCTAATTTATTGTAAAGCATGGTGGTAAAAAAGAACAAAATTTTCTTGAATTTAAGGAGATTTTCAGTAGAAACAGAGCCAGCAGAATAGAAAATGTCATCTGTCAAGTAAGAGTAACCCACAGACATCAATGATTAGTTTGACTCTCACCAAACATCAGCTTAAGACAGTCCTACCAAACTACTGACCACCAGTGTAACTGGAGTCACTACTCTGACCATCAAAGTAAGGGGACATAACACTGGTCACTAATGTAAGGGGGAGGTACACTGACCATCAATGCAACTGGTGGCACTAAACTGACCACCAATGTAAGGAACACTACACTAATCACTAGTGATGTGCTGTACATACCAGAGTTTGGTACAGGGTGGGTACTGCGAACCTTAGAGCAATTTGGATGCTGAATCTGAACCCTAATGAAGTCAATGAAAGCCGAATCTTAAAAATCAGTACTGCCCATTTTTTTAGGCAAAAAGGCAAGGGTTTGTCAAACAAATGTCAAGGAGGGCCATTAGGGATACGTACCAAAGCAAAAAAATAAAAATAAAAATGAATGAATGAATGAATGGCAGGGAGAAGTGATTTAATAATGCTTCAAGTGAAATATTTAGAAAATGCAAAAATTGAAATGCAAAATACTTAGTGGATGCCCTGAACCTGCCAGCGAAGTAGTGTATCTGTACGATGTATACAACCTACAACTGCAAAATATATTATTTACAAAAAAAAAAAAGCCCATTTAAATTGATGGTAAATGACAGCTCAAAACCACATTCTGTTTGTAAACAAAGTGGTTGGGGATTCCTTTCTTTACTACCAGACCCTTATACTAGATAAGAGTCTGGTATAGGGGAATGTCACACACGAAAAAAAAAAATCCCAGATTCCAGGTAACATGTCCTCAACATTCAGAGAGTACCTTGCCAGTAGTGATCCCCCTGGCAAAGCACCTTGTTTGCACATCCTTGAGAACAAGGTCCTTCTCCCTAAAACCCTGTCCTGGTGGTTGTTGGGGGTTTGTGGGGGGGGGGGGGTATTGGAATCTGGAAGTCCCCTTAAAAATTAAAAGCAGCGGGACTGACACTATGGCTGCTTTGTGCCATATAGTATATATATATATATATATATATATATATATATATATATATATATACACACATCACACACACACACACACATATATATATATATATATATATATACATACATACATACATACACACACACACACACACACAGGCACAGGTGGCAACCTATCACGGTACCATGCTTGAATTCACTGAGCTCCTGAGAGCGACCCATTCTTTTACAAATGTATGTAGAAGCAGTCTGCATGTCTAGGTGCTTGATTCTATACACCTGTGGCCTTGGAGATGATTGGTACACCTGAATCCAATGTGTCCCAATAGTGACAATATAGTGTGTGTATGTATGTATATATATATAATTTTTTTTTTTTTTTTTTTAGAAACAATTGTGCCAGGCACATTTGCACAACATTTACCAAGTCCACAGATCTCAAAACCACAGAATACGCCTCAAACTTATGATAGTGACAAACCAGAACCTGATCCCTAATTGGGACCACTTTCTCCACTGACCACCAATGTAAGTGGTAAATTGTCTACCGACCACTACTGCTTGAGGGGACTATATTGACAACTAATGTAATTAAGAACATTTTTGTAAGGGGGTCCTTATTCACTGACCACCAGTGTAAGGATACCCTTCAATGACCACCAATGTAAGTGGGGCCCTTCTTGACTCACCGATGTAAGCATGCACAATTTTCACTGTCTGAGTTGCTTTTCTGGGCATCAATATTATTTAATTTAGTCGTTATTCATTAAAATTATTTTTTTTGCTTAGAGTAGGGGGTCGTTTAAGAGATGATCTATCTTGGCTGTCACTACACTATACCAGGTACGCCTCTGCTAAGGTGTCATAACGAACAGGAACACCTAACATGAAAAATACCATTAATTTAAATTAAAGTTTTTTTTTTAGTTGGCATGCATTGGGAGCAGTTGGTCCCCCTTTTGCCTCCACAACAGACCTGACTCATGGTACGGCACGGATGCCACTAGACCTCTGAAGGTATTCTGTGGTTTTTGGCATCAAGCAGTCAGTAGCAGATTCTTTAAGCACTGTAAATTGAGAGATGGGTCATCCATGGATCAGACTTATTTTTCCAGCACATCCCACAGATGCTGGATTGTATTGAGATTTAAAGATCTGTGTTCCTCAAACCATTCCTGAATTCAGCAGGCCAGGCCACCTTCTTCCATTGGTTCATGGTCCAATTCTGATGCTCAAGTGCCCATTAAAGGCACTTTTGGTTGTAGACATGGGTCAGCATAGGTCAGTCTCTGTCTACGCAGCTCCATACGCAACAAACTAAAATACACTGTGTGAAGATTCCACAGATGCTTGATTGGATTGAGATCTGGAGGATTTGGAGGCCAAGTCAAAACCTTGAACTGTTGTGTTCTTCAAACCATTATTGAGCCATTTGTGCAGTGTGGCAGGGCGTATGATCCTGCTGAAAGAGGATACTGCCATCAGGGAATATAGTTTCCATGAAGGGGTGTACTTGGTCAGCAACAATTTCTAGACAGGTAGTGTGATGATAGTGACGTCAGACCCCTGCCCTTCTCACCAAACTCGTGACCGAAGGACTGGCCAATCTAAAACCGCGATGTCATGTGCGTAACAATGCCCCGCCCAGCTGCACCCTGCACAACGATTTTCCAGCTCACTGGACCACAAATCGATGTACCGGCAGCCTGAGCGCGATTGTTACTGGGTCAGGTTAATTACACAATTAACCCTTCACACTGCCACCACCTCCTTTTTGTACAGAGAAAGGAAACTCGGCAATATCAGCAATAACACTATGATGGTTGAGATAATCGTCTGTATAGCACTGTCACCACAGACAGGTTATACAGAGGGTTAAACACACACAGTAGCGCTCTTTTAGAGGCAAGAATTCGTAAGTTACAATAAAGAACTGTAGAAACAGTTCAACACTTTCAGAAAGTAAGATTTATTACTAAAAGGTCAAAAGGGTGCAATAAAAATATTTACAGAAAAAAGATGTAACCAATATATATATATAAATATACAGAGAACAATAGCACAGCAAAGAGGTAACAGAAAGGAGGTTAAAGGGTTAAAGTACTTGCCAATCAGGCACAAGTAACATTCCACCCGTGGGTAGATTAATATGCAGATGCATCTGAGGAACGGTTAGATATGAAATATGAAATACATACTTGAATGGTTCAAGAGATGTAATTTTCTGCTTTCCTATGTATTCCAGCCAGGGTGTGTGACCTATCAAACGATTTGTCTGATCGTGAGCAATCTGAAGATATACCTGGTTTTTATGTAAGTCTTTCATATTCCAAGATATGAGACATAGGGGAAAAATGGATTTTAAAAGTGTTATCTAGTTTCTTACTCCTCTGGAATGTCTTTGAACTCAGGGGAAGGCTTGGGTTATCCTTTTACGAGGTGCCAGATTGCACAGCTTCTCAGCCAGCTCGGCAGCCAGCTCAGAGATGTTTTATAGCTCTGAGCTCCCTGCTGTGCCCTGGCCTGCCTGTGACACTTCGAACACACACACCGACCAAATGTCACTGTGGCTCTCAGAGAGGGAGGGGGAATGAGGAAAGATATGTTTGTACAAGATGGATGATCCTTTGCCAAGATGGAGGTTGGAGCAAAATGGTTGAACCGCGTCCATCTCTGTGGGTACGATTGCTACAGGTAGTACATGTCAAGCAACATCCAAATGAATGGTAGGACCCAGGGTTTTTCCAGCAGAACATTGCCCAAAGCATCATATTGCCTTCTTCCCATACTGCATCATCGTGTCATCTCTTTCACAGGTTGGGGATGGACACGCATCCAGGCATCCACATGATATAAAAAACAAAAAAACATGATACATCAGAAAAGCCCACCTTCTTCCATTGCTCTATGGTCCAGATCAGATGCTTACATTGTAGGTGCTTTTGGCAGTGGATATGGGTAAGCATGGGCACCCTGACCAGTCTGTAGCTGCACATCCCCATAAACAGCAAACTGTGATTCCCATTTTTTTTTGCTTTTAACACTTCAGATTCAGAGACAAGATGTTCACTGCATAATATATCCCACCGACTTTCAGATGCCACTGTAAAGAGATAATCAGTGTTATTCACTTAGGCGTCTTGCACACTTCTGCATAAAAATGCAGTGTTTTTAGGCATACAGGCTTTTTTAATTATGTCAATTCAGACTATTGTTTTCAGTGTGCCTGTACACGCAGGCATGCAAACATGCACTACATATAGATCAGTAAAGACAAAAAAAAAAATGCTAGAAATCTGTGTTGCCGGTCAGTAATTTTACGCATATCCACACATATGCCACACTCCCTTAATTACAATAAAGCTAGAAGAATTTTTATGTGTGTGTACGCATATGCACAAATATACGCAAGTGCCATACATCCCATCCTTGTATGTTTTCTGCCAGGACTGTTTGATGTTCTTACATCATCACAGTGTGCAAGTACCCTCAAACTTTCCATAGGCATAAAGTTATGGCTGATCAGTGTGTGCATGTGTGTGTCAGTTACCCCCGAAGGAGGCACACAAATAGCACCACACACTCTGACACACCTGGCACTGTGCAAAGGTTTTAGGCAGGTGTGAAGAAATGCTGTACATTAAGAATGCTTTCAAAAATATATTTTTATTGTTTATATTTATCAATTTGCAAAATGAAAAGTGAGCAAACAAAAATAAAATCTAAATCAAAGCAATATCTAGTGTGACTACCCTTTGGCTTCAAACCAGCATCAATTCTTCTCGGTTCACACAGTGCTTGTACGCAGTTTTTGAAGGAATTCGGCAGGTAGGTTGTTCCAAACATCTTCGAGAACTAACCACAGATCATCTGTGGATGTAGGCTGCCTCTAATCCTTCTATCTCTTCATGTAATCCCAGACAGGGATTGGGGGGGGGGGGCAAACCATCACTTCCAGGACTCTTTTTTCTATTTTATGTTGAAGATAGTTCCTAATGACACTGTCTGTATGTTTAGGCTCATTGCACAATAAATATGGGGCCAATCACACGCCCTCCTGATGGTATGGCATGGTGGATAAGTATCTGCTTGTATTTCTCAGCATTGAGGACACCATTGATCAGGCAACGTTGAGGAACATAGATGCAGTTGTTGGCCAAGGTAACAATGCAGTAGATGAAAGACATGATAACTTCCCTTTGACATCGGAAGATGCCCTGCAGTGCCAAGAGCACATAACTGGCAGAAACCAGTTGGACCCAGGTACACCCCATCTGCTGTCCAGAGAAATCTGTCCAGAAGTGGTATTCATGGAAAAATTGCTGCCAAAATGCCATACCTCCAACGTGGAAACAAGGCTAAGTGACCCAACTATCAACTATGCACACAAACATAGGAACTGGGGTGCAGAGAAATGGCAGTAGGTGCTCTGTGCTAAAAAGTCAAAATCTGAAATATTTAGCTGTAGCAGGAGGCAGTTTGTTCACCAATGGCCTGGAAAGCGGTATCATGAGTGTCTGCAGGCAACAGTGAAGCATGGTGGAGGTTCCTTGCAAGTGTGGGGCTGCATTTCTGCAAATGGAGTTGGAGATTTAGTCAGGATCAATGGTGTCCTCAATGCTGAGAAAGCTCCAACACTTGTGGTTAGTGTTAAACTTGCTTCTAAGCCCCACAAACTGGCTAGATTTAAGATTAGAAATAAAGTAGTCATCCATGAAAACTGAGCACAGCAGACAAGAAATACAGCAAGGTTACTTCCCTTTAAATCAGTTGATGTCCAGCACTGTCATGAGCTCAGAATGGTCAGAAGTAACTGGAACCCTTGTAATCTACAATCCTGAGAATTCTTTTCAGATGTTGTCATGGAAGAGTTGCAACCATAAAGCCATTTCCAATGAAGTGGAAATGAAACCAAAACTCTCCCAGACACAAAAAAACCTCAAGGACTCGATTGTAAAAAAAAAGGCAGCAGCAGGGCTCCGGATAGTAGACACAAACAATATAATATAAGGGCCACTTAAAAGGTATTTTGTTTATTGAAAGTCTGGAGAATGGATACATACTTACACACCAATGTATATTATCTATCCTGCAATGGCTATTATCCCCTTTTTCACTCAGATCAGCAGATTCCATTCATTGTCACTAATCCTTCTGTGTCCAGAAGACACATGCTCAAGTATCTCAGCTATCATTTCCTGAATCATTAGAAAACGTCACTTCTAATTGCGTATGGGTTACTCGGCATGTGACGTCCAAGT